GTGGTGGAAATCCTAGCAGGCCCATAGCAGTAATAAGTATACAAATTCTGAAATTTAGTAGTACTTTCTTTTCATATCAGAAGTATTTTCTCATTTATGATCTCTTTTTAAAAAAACCAGCCCATGGGGAAAAGTGGTGTTATGCTTACTTTACAAAGGAGAAAACTTAGGTACCACAGGATTAGTGCTCCCAGGGGCCTCTAGACTACTTAGCTAAAACTTAAGCCCAGGCCTCCTAAGTCCATGGTTCTACCATTTGCCTCTACTGGGCCTCACTCCTATTATGGGGTTCCAAGAGAAGTAGAAATAAGCCTTCCAGCAGAACACAGTCTGAGGTTTTCCTGTCCTTGGCAGCACCATGTCTGAGAAGACAAGTGCAGGCACGGCCTTCGTTTAATGGAGAAGGTGACACCTGCTTGAGGTCAGCACCTGCCTGGAGTCAGCAGGGCTCCAGCAGGTCGTTGGGGTCCACCCCTGCTATTCATACTTGGTTATTTCCATGAGTGGAAAGTGGCAGGAATGACCAAAACAGGTAACAGGAAAATCATTCTTTGAAATGATTATATATATAGTTTTGCTTTTGTTCCTGGGTTTTTAATTTTATTTATTTTTTTCTCCAGCATTAATAGTAGAGTCAACTCCCTAATTATGTTTTTATTGGCTGATATTAAAATGGAAATGAATTTTCATTCTTCAAGTATACATTCTGTATAGGATGGGGGCTGGGATGATGATAGGTAATTTGTGAAATGGGGAAGTAGATTGTCTATATATAAATAATCCAGAATTGACTAATATCTATATACATTCCCATTCATCATTTCATGAGTTGGAGGACAAAAGAATTCTTCTGTGGGGGTGGGAAAATGCCTTCTCCTTACTATGGTGAGAATGATACACCATGGGATTGTAGTTCGATGCTGTACAAGATTGCCCAAGTCAGACTCTTAAGAAATCTCGAAAGGCCTTTGCAGAGGGCAGCAGCCCTTCAAGGTGCCCAGGGACTGCTGCTTGGTTAAGCCACCATGGCTCATTAGGCAGACTTGTTTTCCTTGTCAATGTAGGCTCTTTCTTTAGGGAGTCATCTGGTCCAGTTTCAGAGAAGGCATTTGTGCTTGATGGAAATTGGTGGAGCAGGAAATATTGATTTGGAAGCTGTTGACACTTGGAAAAAGGGAGTTAATGTAGATGTCAGTATTGATCAGTGAGGCTAAATTTAGACACTAGCTTGAGAGTTTCCCTTTTGAATATACTCTCAAAAAAGAAAAGAAAAGAACACTTCAATTGAAATGCCATTAATGGGACAGAAAGGAAGAGGACAATAATGTATTATGATGCAGCTATGTCTTCAGAGCTCATAGATTAAAGGTTTAGATTTGATTGTGTGGACCTCATAACCTTAAGTGTAGCTATACCAGAATTATATTAAACTAAGCTTTGAAGAGTGAGGAAGAAACAGACATTAGACTGAAAATAATTTTTAAGTGTTCGGAACAAATGAAATGGACAAATGCAACTGAATTTCTTTCTCCTGGATTACTTAGGACTTTACATCTAAGATAGATAAGCCCAAACACCTCTGGAGAAATGGTGGACCTTGAAGGGAAACCACTCCCCTGATTACAGTCCATGGTCCAGGTCCTTAGACCACCTAGATGTCCTCTTAGATTATTCTCCAGACCCCACAGAATGCTATCATTTCTTCCAGGGAAATTATCACTTTTGTAAAGATGACCTCATATCTATTAGATAAATCAGGAAGATTTGAAAAACCTACTTAATGGGCATAAACTAAATGAATTTCCATATGTATTCCTGCAAAGCAGTGCATTTAGCAGAAAATAAGCTAAAATGGATTTGTAAGATGTTGGGTCTCTAAACTATGGGGAGAGAAATCATACTTATTTGACTATTAAAGACATTGGCTTACTTTGCTTCTTTGGACCAAATGCTGGCCGAAATTTTCATGTGATCAAGATGGACATTCAAAACAAAGGAGAAAATATTAGCTTGTTTTCAGCCTCCTGTGGAGAATACTGTGTTCAGTTCTGTTAACTGTATATAAAATTTAGAAAGGAGTTTGAGTAGATCCAGAAGAGGAGCAACCCTAGGGACAACTACCATTATTTTGTTTCAAAATGGAGATAATCGGGCCGGCCCGGTGGCGCACTCAGTAGAGTGCGGCGCTTGGGAGCGCGGTAGCGCTCCCGCCGNTGGTGTTATGCTTACTTTACAAAGGAGAAAACTTAGGTACCACAGGATTAGTGCTCCCAGGGGCCTCTAGACTACTTAGCTAAAACTTAAGCCCAGGCCTTCTAAGTCCATGGTTCTACCATTTGCCTCTACTGGGCCTCACTCCTATTATGGGGTTCCAAGAGAAGTAGAAATAAGCCTTCCAGCAGAACACAGTCTGAGGTTTTCCTGTCCTTGGCAGCACCATGTCTGAGAAGACAAGTGCAGGCACGGCCTTCGTTTAATGGAGAAGGTGACACCTGCTTGAGGTCAGCACCTGCCTGGAGTCAGCAGGGCTCCAGCAGGTCGTTGGGGTCCACCCCTGCTATTCATACTTGGTTATTTCCATGAGTGGAAAGTGGCAGGAATGACCATCTGAACAAAACAGGTAACAGGAAAGTCATTCTTTGAAATGATTATATATATAGTTTTGCTTTTGTTCCTGGGTTTTTAATTTTATTTATTTTTTCTCCAGCATTAATAGTAGAGTCAACTCCCTAATTATGTTTTTATTGGCTGATATTAAAATGGAAATGAATTTTCATTCTTCAAGTATACATTCTGTATAGGATGGGGGCTGGGATGATGATAGGTAATTTGTGAAATGGGGAAGTAGATTGTCTATATATAAATAATCCAGAGTTGACTAATATCTATATACATTCCCATTCATCATTTCATGAGTTGGAGGACAAAAGAATTCTTCTGTGGGGGTGGGAAAATGCCTTCTCCTTACTATGGTGAGAATGATACACCATGGGATTGTAGTTCGATGCTGTACAAGATTGCCCAAGTCAGACTCTTAAGAAATCTCGAAAGGCCTTTGCAGAGGGCAGCAGCCCTTCAAGGTGCCCAGGGACTGCTGCTTGGTTAAGCCACCATGGCTCATTAGGCAGACTTGTTTTCCTTGTCAATGTAGGCTCTTTCTTTAGGGAGTCATCTGGTCCAGTTTCAGAGAAGGCATTTGTGCTTGATGGAAATTGGTGGAGCAGGAAATATTGATTTGGAAGCTGTTGACACTTGGAAAAAGGGAGTTAATGTAGATGTCAGTATTGATCAGTGAGGCTAAATTTAGACACTAGCTTGAGAGTTTCCCTTTTGAATATACTCTCAAAAAAGAAAAGAAAAGAACACTTCAATTGAAATGCCATTAATGGGACAGAAAGGAAGAGGACAATAATGTATTATGATGCAGCTATGTCTTCAGAGCTCATAGATTAAAGGTTTAGATTTGATTGTGTGGACCTCATAACCTTAAGTGTAGCTATACCAGAATTATATTAAACTAAGCTTTGAAGAGTGAGGAAGAAACAGACATTAGACTGAAAATAATTTTTAAGTGTTCGGAACAAATGAAATGGACAAATGCAACTGAATTTCTTTCTCCTGGATTACTTAGGACTTTACATCTAAGATAGATAAGCCCAAACACCTCTGGGTGCGGGCGTGACACCAAGGGTTGCGATCCCGTTGCCGGTCACGAAAAAAGACAAAAAGGGAAAACAAATGGAGATAATTAAGAGGACACATAGTCACAATACACCAAGGGTTGCGATCCCGTTGCCGGTCACGAAAAAAGACAAAAAGGAAAAAAAAAAAGGAGATAATTAAGAGGACACATAGTCACAGTCTATAAAATTAAAGGATGAACACATATAATCTCATAGATCATGGATTTTTAGTACTAAGGAACACTAGAAATACAATAGGCTCCTGCTACCATCTGAGCAGCTAATGATTTTTCCCATAGCTAGAATTTGAGAAATAACTGTGCCTTGTGATAAGTTATCTTAGCGTCAGTTGCCTTGAGTGAAACCTCGTAGCTTCATTAGGGATAACTTCGAGAACACAGCCATCTATAGGCAGCTTCCCCAGCCTACATGGTTACAAGGCTCAGCTTGCCCAGCCTAAACGGCATCATCATTTGAGACATCCAGATCCACTCTTCTCCTGACTTGGACTTATCTGAGCTCCCTTGACCTGAGGAAGCAATAGATCTCTGATTTTGGTTCCCCCTGCAAGCTCAGACTTAGCTGAATCCTTGGCCTAGCTCTTAAATGACCAAGTAGCAGTATTCTTTCAGTCCCTTATTTCAATGTTACTGATTTTCTCAGGTATCCTGTGGATGTAGGGGCACTCTGAATTTTGAAAGAAATGTAGAATTTTAGAGCTGGAAATGGCCTTTAAAGATCATCTAACCTATTAGGTAAATTGTTGTCTAAGGTGATTGATCCATGTAAAATGTTTGTTTTATGGTTTGAAAAATACTTTTACATTAATTATTTCATTTTATCTTTATCCTGTGCCTTAGGCAAGGAAAATGTTCACATTTTATAGCTGAGAAAACTGAGCCTTAGCGAGACTAAATGATGTTTCCATGATCACAGTTTGAGAGTAGTAAAACTAACATTTTCTCATTTTAATTATGATATTTCTTCTGCTACCTTGCACACATTTGGATGCTCACAGGAAAACAAATAGCCAGTTTTATGAACCAGGAAGAGAAAACATCCCAATAATAGAAAATTATACCAACAAGGGTTGTCAGTGATCAGAGTACAAAGAATAATGATGAGAAAACAGCTAAGGAACATATATCACATCAGAATATGCCAATAAGCTCATAGAACTTCTGAAATCAAGATTAATATTCTTAAATTTTTAATTTTCTCATTGGGAGAGGTATAAATGAAGAATCACAGCATTACCTAGCTTTTCTCCAAGCTAAAATTCACCACCAACACCACCATCATCATCATACTGTATGTTTTATAGTGTGTCACAGCAACCCTGTAATGCAGAAAGGGAAGGTAGAATTATCCTTATTTTACAGATGAGAAAACTCAGGCTCGGATGGGGTAAGTGATTTTGCTGGGTAAGTAACAAAGCCAGGTATTCTGACTTCAAAATTTATGCTTTTTCTGTACTATGCCAGTTCTGCTTCCAGGATTGACTCATTCACAGAGATCAATCCCACCCTGGATCTAAGCCATTGACATAAACTACCATGCATTTTTATCTTCCTAAAATCAAATGTCCCACTTTAAAGTCCTAAAATGCCTTTATAAAGTGCATTTCAGAAATAAAAATAAACAAGGATATGGTGTAATTTAACAAAAGAAGTAGGGACTGAACCCAAGATATTTCTAAATGGAAAGGCTGGTAAGTGGGGATTCTCACCACCATAGATGTAACTGATATTTCCAATTGACTGAAACTGGAGAGAAAAATATTCTAGCAAGACTCAGGATGCCCAGAGAGAGTCAGATGTCCTGCAAGCATTGATTTATGTTGCACGTGGAGAAAAAGTTTCTCTGACACCCTCAAATGAATCTGCAAACCAATCAAAATGCAATGAATCATGGCAGAGGAACATAGTTCAAAATATACATTGTGAGCTCCATTTTCCAAAGAGATGAAGCATTTGGGCATGCAGTCTATGAATGCATGTACCCGAACTTACAGGCAGCTTTTTGAAATTATTAGCACCTCTAGCCAGCCAGCCATAGTTCACTAATGACAACAGAGATTTCACACGTACACTCTGAGCAGTTATTTCCTACAAGTAATTGCTCTACAGATTGGCATCTCATCCACAATCTGCCAGACTGGCCATGAATTAACATCTCAATCCAAATAGCCCAGCTTCAGTGGAATTTATGCCACAATGTTGTCTATGCACAATAAGGCATCAGTCATTTTCTGCCCAGGGATGAAATTTGAGAGATGCCTTTGAGAGTTATGGAGCAGGAGACCTGCGCTTAGTGTTTTCTAATTATTCAACATGAGGAGGTTGAGGGGAGAAAAAAAATCTGAAAGCACATGTGAAACAGATTGTGGTATCTTCTCCTTTGGCATGAGGTAACAGATGGACAGTATTTACTGATCTTGAAATTTCAGAATACTTTTTATTTCCTCTCCAAGCAAGTTTTCAGACTTCCTTAAAAAAAAAAAAAAAAAAAAAAAAAAAGCAACGTTCTGGTGACTAGACACATCAGGTAGATTTTCAGAGACTAACTCTTCCCAGTCTTCCAGTTGGGTTATTTGCACTGATTCTATTAGCTGGATAATTGTCCCATCTCCATTTCATCTAGGACTGTCTAGACAGTGTTGGCTGTTTCTTCTTCTATCCTAATATTCCATAGCTGAGTTTTCTTTCCCCCAGTACTCATTATGGTCACCTTAAAATTGTATTCAGCATAGCCATAGCCTCTAAATAATTTAAGTCAATTATAGCTTACTCTCCCTTTTTCTGGTGATTCAGTGTATGGATTGTTCATGCTGTTTTGCTTCTTTTCTTTTTCCTTCTTCCATCCTTTGGGCTATTAACCCACCAAAGCTCAAACCTGTCTACTCTGGGCTATTTTGCAGGGTACTGGAGGTTGGACCCATTTCTTAGGTGTGACTTGGGTATTCTCTATTGCTTTCAAAACATTACTACAAAACAGCACATTCATTGTATGCAAGGTACTGTGCTAGGCACTATGTGCAATTAAAATATGACTAATATATTGCCCCAGACTTCAGGAAGTTTACATTCTAAGGGGGATATGAAATGTAGGTTGAAATAACTAAACAAGGCGATCTGTGGTGAGTGCCATTGAGGTGGTACATATGAAATAGGATCATTGTCCTGGATGAGGAAGAGATTGTTTCCAATGGGAGTGATCAGGTATGGAAGATTTTGAGACGCTGTTGTTATTTGAACTGGGCCTTTTAAAAAAGAAAAAGATACCAACAGAAGGCATTTATTTATTTATACTATCCTATGTTCCAGAAGAAACTTTAGACATATGTACAATACAATCAGATTAAGCAATGTTTGAATTAAGTGGGTGAGGAAATTGGGGAAGAGGGGTGTTGAGGGGAAGAAATAATATATGAAGCTAATAATGAAGTTGGTACATAGAATAAAGTACCTTATGGCACAAGGTGTTAGGTCAGACTGGGGAGATGACCATTTTAATTATCCATACCCTTCCTGTCCTCCGTCTAACAGAGGATAAAAGATAGCGAGCTCTCTGACTGAAGTACCCATCAGAGAAGCCAACAGCTCTGGGGAAGCTGTGGAAGGCCATTCACCTGTGTGCTTGTCCCAACTCCCTAGGTCCTGGGATGGATCCGCAATGGAGAATCAATGCTCAACGCCAGCCTGGTCAATGCCAGCTCTTTGTCCGAAGCAGAGCAGCTGCAACGGGAGCACGAGCAGTTCCAGCTGGCCATCGAGGTAACACCCAAATCTGGTTGCACTGTCCTCCCTACCCCTTTCTGCTCTGCGCCTCAGGCAGGATGATTCTCCAAGGGGTGGGAGTACCTTCAGGTGGTGAAGCCCTTACTCTTCTCAGTGAAATGGTCCAGGGAGCCTCCCTGTTACCCAGGAATTGATAGGGAAGCAAATGCAGGAGTTCATCCCCCCAAGGAAGCCTGCTATTAGAAGAAAAGTATTCTTGACACTGCAGATGACAATCTTTTTTGCTCACTGGTACCTTCAACCTTTAAGGCCCCTGGTACATTGAGTTTTTTACACATTCTAGACTATGTACCATGTGAGAAATGTAAAGCTAAAAGGTTAAAAGTTGCTTCCAGTTTAAGATCACTCTGAACTGAGAATAAACAAGTCCAAAAGGCATTGACAAGTGAGGATCCTACTTTTAAACATTTGATTTTCATGTAACATTTAGATGCTATTATCAGAGTCTGCCTTTTAACACGAACACTGAGCATTGGACCAGATGGCACCAGATAGTTTACCTCACTGAAAGTAGTTATTCCATGATGCTGATAGAAGTCATATTTAAAGAATAAACTGCAACCAGAAGAAGTTCACCAACTGGGACTTTTTAAAAGGCTATTTTAAAATAAAACTCCACTTACGATAATCTAATATAAATTTTGTCTTATTTTAAATAATTCCTTTCTACTAGGGCATTCTCCTCCCCAAAGACACAAACTGATTGCTTTAGAGTGGTGCAGGAAAAAGAGTAGGAAATGGGACATGGGAGCTATATTAAAAATAAAAAAAGTTTAGTAACAATGGGAAAAGAGATAAGGGGTGAAAACATGAAAAACATTACTTGTGGTTCAGTGTAGAATTCAACTCACTTTAGAGTTTGTAAGAAAGAAATGCAAAAGTATATTATCTTCTACTAAAAAAAAATTAATGAAAATTTTCCACAGCAATGATGGAAAAATAATAAAATTTTAACCATGTGCCCGTAAGTACGTCTTTTTATACAGTCACCAACTGATTGCTAGCCATTTTAAAACTAGTATTAGTATTGATTGAATTAAGCCATTTAATTTTCCAGAAATCATCTTGGATGTGTAAACATAGCATTAAGATGCTTGATATCTTCTTAGGAACCATTACTAGTACTAGAAGTACTATCTTGGATTTGAGATGCAGAAATAAACTGTATATTGCACACGTAGTATGAGCAAATTATTTTCTAAGGGGGAATTAACCAGAGAAAATAAGTTTTGTTATCATCAGCTGTTTCTATTGCTGTTTGCTGACACACCCATTATATAACAGTGTTAGGATCTGTTCACTGTAAAGAAAAGTCAGGATTGGGGTTATAATCAAGAGCCAGGTACACAGCAATCAAGCTCCCATAGGCATGGGCAACAATGAAGAAAACAAGGGTTGGGCCATCAGACTGGAGGCATGGCACGAAGCTGCGAGGGATGCTAGGCAAGGAGAAGACAGCTCTTGGCCATACCTCCTCTATAGTCATCTTGAAGAAGAAGGTTTACATGTCGTATCAGGTCATCAAACTGCCAGTCCCTTAGTCAAATGTTGGGCAAGTAAGAGCAGCCGTCATGACATGCTTGAGCATCTCAGTGAGCTGGTGGGAAAGGGTGGGTAAGTGCACTCATGGTGCTGTGGACCGACTACATTCCACATGACTGCATACGCAGTATGTATTATTTTATCTTAGATGCCGTTGCATCCTTACAGAATAGAGGCTCAGTAAGCATAAAATGTCTCTTAATCAGTTCTGCGTTTCTGTATCGGTACAACTTGATGAAATATTCCTGGAATTGATGTTGAGATACAGGCCACTCTAGGATTTGTGTCTACGGTCTCAAGAGGGCATGGCAGAGAAGATAGGATTTCTGGGAGATCTTGGGAGTGGAAGGTAGGTAGGGTCTGCATCATGGCTAGAATAGAAGAGAACAGAACCAGAATTTCAACATAGGCTCCTTCTCCAGGTGGCCTGTGCTTCTCTCTAAATGTGTCAGTTTAGAACAGGTTCTGCATGTGTCAGGGAGGACTTAAGAAATTTTAAAAGGAGTGTGAGTAGTCTGGTTTGGCTTAGCCTATTTTAACAGTGTTACTGGAGACCTTTACAATGATTGCTTATGGTGAGCACAATTTGACTTCTTGGAACCTAAGAAAGAACCCTGGGTTCCATAAGGGAAAATGAAATAGCTGTAGGTAGGAAAGCATATAATTTATTGTTTAAAATTAGACACTTTTAATAGTTGAAGAGGAAATTATTAATAACTAATCCAGAAAAATAGGCATATACTGGAACTGTCATGGGTAATCCAGGAGGTATGCTAACCTACCTTGGGTGGCCTTATTAGGTTGAAGGTTTTGGTCTCCCCGAGGAAGGCCAGAAATTTTACCTGAAGTATCCTTGGTTTCAAATCCAGGAGGTATGCTAACCTACCTTGGGTGGCCTTATTAGGTTGAAGGTTTTGGTCTCCCCAAGGAAGGCCAGAAATTTTACCTGAAGTATCCTCGGTTTCAGGAAAACTTCCTCAGAGCCATTCAGAATGGAGAGCAATACATGGCTCCTAGAAGCAATATAGCTTTATCAAGCAAACCTAGATTATTATTTGTTAGTATCCAAGATGTGGCTGATGTGTCTTCAGGAACCGTGAACTTTACAGAGACAAGCTCAATTTTAAAATCCATTTTTATATGAAATCTTCTTATGCATTTTAATCATAAGTGTTATGCCAGAAAAAGTTGTTAAAACTGGATAATAAATTTAATTGATTCAGTTCAATTTTCATCTGTGTATTCCTACTAAACATTAATGTCCTTGATATCTGTGTCTTAAAGATATAGCACTCAATAGGATTAGATAATGGGCACTAGAAATGAATGCAACGTAGTGACTTAAGCTTAGCAAAGCAAAGATTGTGTCATATGGATGAGTTTATCGTTTAGGAAATTAAAAGGGGGAGGGGTTCCCAGGACTATCAGATGATAATGAGTTTCAGAGTCAGGAAGAAAATGTATCACATGGCATAAATCATAGGAAAATCAAGTCACTCCTCCACTCTCAAAGAAAAAGACATAATAATGGGTTTATGATGACAATTATATGCTGTTTCATATATTGAGGAGAGGCCAGATAGTTATCATAATCACTAATGTTCATTTGGCAAACCCTTCCTTGGAATGAGAGTCTGCAAAAACTGTTCTGATTGTTAGAGATAAAATGATGTAGTGTGATAAAGTAGAAAGAATGTAGGTTTGGGAATATGAAACCCGAGTCTTATTCCTGGTTTTACATTTTCCTTGGTTGTACATTTTTGGACAAGTCACTTAACCAGCTGAGCCTCAGTTTCTTAATCTGTGAAATGGGAATAATAATATCCTCCTTGAAGTAGTGTTAGGAGAACTAGAAAATATATGCGTAAGCACAGTGCCCGCACAGAGTGTACCCTTGGATAAATAAATGACAGCTATTTAACTGATTTTTCAAACTGTCCTTGCCTTAAGAGTTTTACAGTCTAAGGAAGGAGAATCAGCCAAGAGTTAGATGGGTGACATAGGAGTTCAGAAGAAGGTAGTTTTCAGTGAGTCCCAGGCTGTCCAAAAAGGCCTCACTGAAGGAGGGTAGACTTGAGCTGAGCCTCAAAAGAAAGCTGAAGCGTAGGTGGGGAGAGACTCTGTGGCATTCATTAAAGGCAGGAAGAATGAAGGTAGCAAAAACAGGAAAGTTTATGGTGTTTTCAAAGGGTTTTTGTAGGAAACTAGCAGGTGATAATGTGATACAAGTAGTTTGGGACCACATTGTGAGGAGCTTTTTAATTATAGCCTTCAAAGTTTGGACTTAATTTCCCAGCAGTGAGGAAGCCACTGAAGGCTTTTGAATCGAGAGAAGGGAGTGATACTTAGAGCATAAAATGGGACTTTTAGAGCTAAAAGAGATGTTAGAAGTTGCTTAATGCAAGCACTTCCCACTACAGAGAATTAAATGGATCTGTCAGAAATGCAAAGGATGGATTAGAAATGGGAGGCAAGGAGACTAGTTAGGGGACCACCACAGCAGTCTATGTATACAGTGGGGAGGGCTGGACTGGAATTGGGGAGTGCTGAGTAGCAGTCAAGAATGATGTCAAGATTGCAATCCTGGGTGGCAGGGAGAAGGGGGGCACCAACAGAAATGGCAGGTTGCCATTGGAAAACTGTTTTGAAGAAAGGAGGAGTTTCCTTTCAGCTGTAGAACTTGAGGAGCTGTCTGGGAGGAGGCGGAGGCTCTGAAAGAGTGGTAAAGGCTGCCTGGCTTTCCTGGTGAGGGCCCCTCCTCTCTGGAGGAAGATCCCTTCTTTTATTGAAAGTGTGTCTTTGAAGCAAGTGAGTGTGGAGTAAACAGCTAGATGAGCTGAATCAGTGCCACTCACTAGGGTGAGAGGGGCGCAGGCAGCTCACCTTTGTACCCGAAGACAGCTGAAGAGGGGGGTCAGATGTCAGACAAGAGACAAGGCTTGGGGGTCATCTGCAGAGAGGAGATAATAGAAGCCAAGGGAATAGATGAGAGCCATGCAGAGGAGAGTTAAACACAAGAATTGACCTTGGCACCTCTATGATTAGGAGACAGGAAAAGAAAGTGGTCTGATAAGTAAAAGAGAAAGAAAACCTGGGATTTGTAGTGGATCATTTCTGCCCATGAGTTTACTTTCTCCAGCTGCATTCGGCAATTAGGAACTTGAATGCCGCTACAGTCATCAGGAATGAGGACTGACTCAGTGGAAAGGCCAGGGAGTGAAGGAGTCTAGGTTACCAGAGGAGGTGGTGCTACCATAGCTATCACTGAGTGCAGATGCAGCAGAGAACAAAGAGAAGCCAAAAGGAAGTCGGTAGACTGGGGAAAGTAAATAGGAGTGTGTAGACTGCAGTCTGGGATGAGAGTGAAGGGCTTATGTGGTGGGAATCGGGGAGGTACAGGTGAAAGAATGAGGGAGGTTGCACTTGGACACAGGGAGTGCTGAATGGATTAGCTCTTGGGAACTGTCTCACAACTACTGCCTGAGAAGAAGGGCAGATATTACTTCTGGAGTAAGTTAGTGGGCTTCTAGCTGTCTCTTTTCACTGCCAGCTGAACTATTCTTTCCTAAAAGTGCAAATGCCAAACTAATACTACACCATTAGGCTAGAACAATCCCGGCAGTTGAGGTTGGAATGATATTAGCTCTTTCAAGTCCATTGGGCTCTAACATTCTCATTTGGATCATCTATATCAGAACTTTATTTTAGTAAATTTTAACCCCATTTGGTTCTTTCTCTGCCACCCAGTCCTCCAGCCCAGCCTTCCCACCTCCTACTGTTAATGTAAACTCACAGAATGCAAAGCACATTTAGCCTGAATCAGAAAGCATTAAGAAAATAAACCTTCTACAAATATGTGTGTGTATAATATATATATATATATATATATATATATATATATATTTCCCTTAAAGGCAAATGTAAATAATATGGGGATTATGTGTTGAGCTGAATTATCTACTATACTGCTCTGCTCCCTTGGTGAAGAAACAAGGGGATTACGTGAGAAGTTACTCTTTAGCTTTATTAACCTGCCAAATTTATTCTTCTACTGGAATCCTTTTCAACTGATTATTAATGTTAAAATGATAGCTGAGATTTATATTAAATAGAGAGTTTCTTTAATGTGCTATATTTACTTGATCTGTAATGGGACTGCAACAGTTAACCTCCTTTGAAAACTCTATAATGAATAGCTTTATGACTAGATTTTTAAAGGAATTTAATTTGTGGTCAAGTCAGAGAGAGGATGTAGACACAACTTCTGTCTCTCTACTACAGAACCTGAAATGTCCTTAAAATCCAGAGTGATGAAAGTAGGAAAAAAGGAGTTAGGGTCCTGAGAGATTAGTTAATGAAAATGTGTGATATTTGTTTTTAAAATATGCTTTAAAAACAATAATGTATTAATTGTCATGACAAAATGGATCAGTCATTTAAAGCTCTTTAACTTTTCTGCATCTTTCCACTCACGCCTCACTCCACCCCCTCCCATACCACACCTGGGTTGTTCCCACGGACCTCTCTCTCCTTCCCTTGTGCCCAGTCCCTCTTTCATGCCACTTCCTTGCAGAAGACGCACCAGAGTGCCCTGCAGGTGCAGCAGAAGGCCGAGGCGCTGCTCCAGGCTGGCCACTATGATGCCGATGCCATCCGGGAATGTGCTGAGAAGGTGGCCCTCCACTGGCAGCAGCTCATGCTGAAGATGGAAGACCGTCTAAAACTGGTCAATGCCTCTGTGGCCTTTTACAAAACTTCTGAACAGGTGAGGGAAAGGGCTGTGGGACATGTGGGGCTGAGGTTGACAAAAGTCTGTTTCCTTCCTCCCACTGCAAATGTGCAACACCAATGTCAGCAAGAAGCTAGTCATCCCAGTACCCACCTTTGAGAATAGAAGAATGGTTTGTGGAAACATGATAATTGGCTTCCTAATAATCCTTTCCATAAGAGCAGTGGACCACATGATTTGTTTCTCATAAATTTCTTAAATTCATCATATCTATATGGAGGTGCTGAAGTAGAAATTGGGTGCATGCTGAGTGCTAGATTTGAGCAGTGTATAAGTTAGCTATTACCACATTAATGCAATGTAATGAACCACCTCAGAACTCAGTGATATCAAAAAAATACACATTTACTTTTTACTAAAGTATCTGGGGTTCAGTTGATCTTGGTTGAGCTTGATAGAACTAGGCTCCATGCTGAAGATTGGGTCTACATCTGTTCTCATGTGTCTCATACTCCTTGACCAGTAACTACTTGAGGCATATGATTAAAGGCAGGAGTGCAAGAGCCTAAATCTACTGTGTAAGTGCATTTTAAGGCTTTGCCTATGTCACATTCTCTAACATCCCATTAGCCAAGCCAACATCAATGAGGCAACACTGCCTCCTATGAAGGCTGGGAGAGGAGAATGAATATTTGCTAAACAATAATTTTATCTACTACAATTAGGCATTATGCACCGCTTGAAAAACATATGGCTCTTTCATTCATGGGGCTCCCAGTTAGATGGAGGAAACGTGACAGGCTCTGTGTCCTTGGGGAACTCTGAGCTCAACTGGTAAGTTAGTGCAGCTGTGGGAGGAAAGGCAAGAGGCATGCACAGCAGGGCCATGAAGATGCAGATGCATTTCCATTACCTCTGTACAGCTGTATGCACAAGGACCAAGAGGATTTTTTAAATAATGATTTGGGTGCTGTTAGGGAATTCTTTTTATGAAATAGAGGTATAAAGCAGAAGTAATTTTTTTTTCGGCATAAAATTGTTCCCTTATTTGAATTGCTCCCTGGTAGAAATAGATCAGAGAAACATTCCCCTCTGGGTGACTTACAGGGACCACGGGAAAGTCTACCTAGGTGCAAATATAACATGCCCATCAGAGGGCCCTGCAACGAGCCTTGTGGTCTCCACACCTTCTCCCAGTCCTTTCTGTTATTTTGGAGAGATGATGCCTTTGATGGCCATGGAAGTGGGAGCTGCAGACTAAGATGATAAAGGGCTTCCCCAGTTCATTCATAGATTCTACACAACCCCAATCAAATCCCAGAGGGCTTTTTTGTAGAAATCGATACACCAATTCTAAGATTTATGTGTAAATAAAATGCAAATGCAGAGAACCTAGAATAGCCAAAACAATCTTGAAAAGGAAGAATGAAACTGGAGGAGTTATTCTACCTGATTTAAAGATTTCCTCTGTAGCTATAGTGACCAACATAGATATTACCAGTGTATGAATAGCCACAATGGAACAAAATAAAGGTTATAGAAGTACACCCACATAAAGCAATTCAGTGAGTGAAGGAAAGTCTTTTCAACAAATGGTGCTAGACAACTGAATATCCATATGGGATAGCCACAATGGAACAAAATAAAGGTTATAGAAGTACACCCACATAAAGCAATTCAGTGAGCAAAGGAAAGTCTGTTCAACAAATGGTGCTAGACAACTGAATATCCATATGGGAAAAAAAAAATGAGGCTTACTCCCTTAATTTGAAATGGTTAAGAAGACCAGAGCACTGGAGTAAGAGTCAGGAAATTTGACCATGAACTGACCTCATTTAAAGGTTACTGTACCTTCTGGATTTCTGTTTCCTCACCTGTTAAATTAAAGGATTTATATTTAATAATCTTTTCATTTCCTCTAACTCACAAAATGATTGGTTCTAAGTCCAGTTTTATCATGGGATAGATAGCAAGTACTCTTTTTCTTAAATGTTTTGCATGTCTATAATCTATTTTACCTCGAGACAGGAGCCTGCCTGCATATTTTTATGCCTTGCATGAACAGAGGAGTAATGCTCAAGATGGGGCTAGAGAAGTCACCTAGAGTTCAGGGACAGAACTTCTCGTGACATGGGAAGCATGTCTGGCTATGAGGTGTTCTGTCCAGGATATCTTTGAGCTCACATTTCAGTTCAATTCATAACTCAGTGGACATCCTATCCAAAGACACATCCTTCATCAAAAGGGATGACTTTTTCAGAGGGGACCAAGGGACAGGTATAGCTTCTCTCCCCTGCTGCCATATCTAAGCAAGGAATCAAAGTCTATTGAAGGGAAGTAAAGGAACAGGAGTTTCTATTTTCTGCATCCTCCCTTAGGCCCTGATACTAGGCTGACTTGGATCTCTCTCACTGTGGGACCCGACCTAACTTTCCCTCTAAACTCCCTTCAAAATGCTTCTGCTTTCTTCTGAGTTCATTTATAAGGTCACTTAGGATGGCCTCTCAGCATGTTTAGAACTGAAATGATTCTTAACTGTCTTTCAAGTTGACCCAAATTGTTATCCCTCTTATGGAAATGTTCATTTTGCAATAGAGGACCTGAATATGTCGTTGCTTTATGGTAGGACTTTGAGACATTTTTGCTGGGATATTTTTCCCCAAGGGAGGAAAAAGATGATATTCTTTTATGGGCCATAAATCTCATAACATTGGCAATCTTCTCCTTTACCTCTGCTTGAGGCTGCTTTACTGTGAGACAAGTACAGATGATTGGGCAAGTCAAGTAACTTCCCCAAACCTCATTTCTGGTTTTACCTAATTCACAGAGTTATTGTGAGGTTAGGACAGTATAGTATATATAAAACACTTTGAAATCCAAAAAGTAGTAGTCTTTCTTCCTTTCTTAGTGTATGTGCTATTCCCTGGGGATGTCGTCAACCCCCGTAGCTTCAGCCTTCAACCATTGACTATACGTGATTCCAAAATCCATACCTCTGGTCATTATCTGTCTCCCTAGCTCCAGACACAGGATTCTCACTACTTCCTGGACTTCTGTTAGTTGTCCCAGGGGCACTGCACACTTTAAATTTATAAATTGAACTTTGAATAAAAAATGTCATCTGTGTAGGGTTCTGTAAGCTGAAGTTCCTCAGAGAATACTTCCCGACTATATATAATTTATTGAGTCTTTTCCTCCATGATTCATTAGGTGTGTAGTGTCCTGGAGAGCTTAGAGCAAGAATACCGGAGAGATGAGGACTGGTGTGGTGGACGAGATAAACTGGGACCAGCCGCCGAGATCGACCACGTCATTCCACTCATCAGCAAGCATTTGGAACAAAAGGAGGCCTTTCTTAAGGTTAGAGCATGTTGTCATACAAGGTAGACTCCAGCCTTGTTCTTTCATCTGCCTTTTCTCTCTCTCTTTCTCTTCCTCTTCCTCCCTTTCTCTCTGTCACACACACACACACACACACACACACACACACACACACACACTCTTCATATGTGGCTCCCACCCCCCTGTTTTTTCCTAGCCTCTAATCTAAAGTGGGGA